GTGAGGTGGGGGGGTATGATTCCTCTCGATACGACGTGGCGGATTGAACAAGTTTCTTCAATGTTCATATGGCACAGCACTAAATTGTTTTCATCAGCCTTTCCCCTGCATGCACCACTCTTTCCTCCACACAGTTTGAATGCAGTCCTTCAGTTGTTACCCTTTACTCTCCGACACTAGACCTCCTCTATTACCTGGTGCACCTGTCCCAACCTCGTTGTGTTTACTTCTTCATCTGTCCTGCGTCTGCAGAGGAAGGCTCTTAGCGGAAGTGTTCTTCTCTTATTGTCCTGCCTTCTCAAATCCTTTATATTAACTTCGTTTTTGTTTGTATGCTTCTGTGTTTAAGGCAAAAAGCTTATGGAAAACGATTTCACATGAAAAATATATAGCGTACACAGGGGCGTGATTATGGGGTACCTAGGGGTTTACGGTAATGGGTGTTCTTTGGTTAAGTTTTATGACCACGCGTAACGCTAGGACAGAGCAGGATCCGTCAACTGGAGTTTTCCCCAAACCATTGACGCACCACGTGGTATTTCAAAATGTGGTTTGCCTCTTGCCATTGTAAGCGTTTCAACATCGTCGTCATGGTCCAGAGGCTTGCCTCTTGCCACTGTAAGCGTTTCAACATCGTCGTCATGGTCCAGAAACGTTCACCTCACCACACTCACCCGTTCTGCAGCTTTCCTCGCCACCACACAAAAGGGGAATGACGTTGGTTGCTTAGATGAACTTTTAATTGTTTGTTTCTCTTCTGACAAGGAAGTTAAATTGTTTCTGGATTTAGGATCATGTTGAACAAAATCAAATTTTACAAAATGGTGCAAGTTCTATGCAAGGGTTTTCCAAATAACACATTTTCGTATATATGAATTGCTTTTTTTTTTTTTTTTTTTTTAGCTTCTCTCTATTTGGTTTTAAAATTATTTTCTTTAAATAATTTTTTTTTTTTTAGTAATAGAAAAACACATTTTTTTAAACTTTTCGATTTTGAAGAACACACAAAAAGAGAATATCTTGTCCTTTTATTTAGTTATTTCAACCTTCATTACGGTGATTAAATTCATTACGCCAAGAAAGTGTTCGCAGAAAAAAAAGTGTCAATAACTGAGAAGGACGAATTGACACGCAGAGGTCACTCAGGGGTCACTGGGGTTTACCGATGACCTTCTGATCATGACGCGTTGTCTTGTCATCGGGGAATTGGGGGGGGGGG